GGCGCGGCATCAGGAGGATCCCGGCGCTGTATCCAGGTAAGTAAAATCCCTTCCCTGTAGTGACCCTTTAAAGTTATTATTTAATCATTTATATAGCGACTGCAAATTCCATAGCGCTATACAATGGGATAAACAACTCCTAGTTTATGGAATAAGAATATGCTATCCCCCCAGATTTTTTTGGGTTACTACGCCCATGCCATCAGCCCCTTTGTGTGTCTCTTACTTCCTCACAGCCTCTTTGTGTGTATCTTACTTGTGTGTCTCTTTCCTCAACAGCCATGCATACATAGCTATACAGCGAAAACAGCATAAATGCACAAAGGCACAAACATACAGACACACAATCATACAGGCACGCAGACTAAGCTATTTAGACACACACTCATACAGACAGAGACTTCCAGGCACACATTCACACAGACACAAAGACACAGACACACAGTCATAAAAGGCACACAATGAAACAAATACAGTCATAGTCATACAGGCACATCGCCATACAATCTACACATGTAGGTACACTGTCATACAGACACGGGCATACAGTCATACATACAATTTCAACTGCACAGGGCCGCCATCAGGGTATGACAACCATGACGGTTGTCATGGGCGCGGCGGTCCTAGGGGGCCCGGACTGCTCAGGGAGTCCTGGGCCCCACCTTCTTTACGTGCACATATATATAGAGATAATCTCTATACATGTGCACCTGCAGGCCCCTGCTACCTCTTCACAGCAGGGGGCCCATCACACTCAGTCTTCACTTTCCAGATGCTCTGTCTAACGCACCCATCAGAGGGTTGCCACAAGTTACCATGGCAACGCTCCGTGCGGCTTGCGAGAGTTAAATAGAGCAGAGCATCTGGAAAGTGAAGACCAAGTGTGCTGGGCCCCCTGCAGTCAACAGGTAGCCGGGGGCCCACACCATGCCACCGGACCACCATGGAATGTGATCTCCCCCCTCCCTGGACACAGGTAAGATGCAGGCGGAATCAAATACAATTTACTACAATTAATGAGCAAAAAATAATCCAAATGCTTTTTCCCCACGGAGTATGCAGACCCACAACATTTACACACACTATAAGCTAACATTTACACACACTATACACTAACATTTACAAACACTATAAGCTAACATTTACACACACTATACACTAAAATTTAAAAACACTATAAGCTAACATTTACACACACTATACACTAAAATTTAAAAACACTATAAGCTAACATTTACACACACTCTGCCCTCACTACACACTACATTTTTACACAAACACACACTCTGCAGTCAATGTACACACACTACATCCTTACACAAACACACACTGCAGTGACTGTAAACACACTACATCCTTACACAAACACACACTCTGCATTAACTAAACACACTACATTCTTACACAAATATACACTCTGCATTAACTACACATACTACATTCTTACGCAAACACCCATTCTGCAGACACTATACACAAACTCCATCCTTACACAAATACACACTATGCATTCACTATACACACTATATTATTACACAAACACACACTCTGTATTCACTATAGACACTACATACTTACACAAACACACACTCTGCAGTCACTGTGCACACACTACTTCCTTACACAAACACACACTCTGCAGTCACTATACACACACTACATCAACTATACAAATACACACTCTACATTCACTATACAAATACACACTCTGCATCTAATACACACAAACACTACATACATTACATAAACGTACAATCTGACTACATCCACTATACTATATACACTGCATCCATGACACACAGACCTCATCTGCTTTACACATTCTACATCCACTATACACACACACACTTCATCCTTGCGGATTGACTCATGGGCGGACTTGGGTGTGGCCCTGTGGGCAGACTCGGATGTGGCCCTGTGGACTGACACGGGGGCGGGCCCCAGGGTTCCCAGAACTTGAGATGTGTCAGGGGCCCTAAAATTTCTGATGGCAGCCCTGCAACTGCATACTCACTATCTAGGTCCCTGAGCATGCTGTGTGGCTCTATAGAGTTCCAATCATGCAGCCCAGCCCCATCACTAAGGGCAAGCCATGCTGAGTGGTACAAAGGGAGCAGGGATATGATGTGAGTCATACCCATACTGCTCCCTTTGGAGGGCATTCAGTGTTCACAGGCAGGGGACAACCAGGATATTTTTCAATAACCCCCACCCAGCACCAATCAGTGGGAGATGAAGGGACAGGCTTACATCCACCTCTTATGTGTGGTGGCTGGGGGTAACCATATTACTCCCCTTTAATTTGCCCCAGTAATGGGGCAAACAGTTTTGTAACAGTTTGCCACTTATCTGGGTCCACTGGGCAACGAGCCTCCACTCTGCCTCCAGCAGCTGTTCTAAATATCTCACTGTGCAGCATTTCAGTACGTCAAAACACTAAAGTTGTCACGGTGCTTGGAGTAACCCTTTAACTAATTATTATTAGCACTCTTGATTGGCACCAGCAGGAGGGGCTTTAAACTATTTTGTTTTTAGGTTGTCACAGAATACTTTTCTATATTATTAGTGAATAGTCGGCTTGTGCAAAAATGTGTTTCTTCCATAAACAAATTGTTTCATATGACTCAAAATCCTTTTAATACAAACCACAGGAAATAAATCATTTCTGAACGAGTCCATTCATTAGGGTGTGAACTACAAGAATTGTAGAATTAAACTATTTTTTTGCACAAGTCTAGTGAATAGTATTGGTCTTCGTGAAGCAGCATGAAATGAAACTTTACTTAACCAATTTCCTTTAAAGACCATTTGAAAAATCTTATGGTAATGGACATGCTATTTCAGTATTCATCAAACTACAAGTACAAGTACAAGTCTGATCATTGTCAGTGGCTATAAATCCATATATTAGAATAATCCTTGCAAACAGTTTATAACAACAGCAAATTTTACACATGCACTTCAACTTCTTTAAAATTATTTTTCAATAGAAACTGAGCTTTTGCCAAAGCCGTATCATCTCTTTAATGAGCATCTCGGTAACACTGGCTAGATGACATGTTATGCAACTTTCACATGCTAACAGCTTAGATTGACATTTTCCTTATTCACATTTTACACATGATTCATATAAGGCAAACTAAGCACGTGCCAAGCCTTCATTCCCCCAGATTAGGTTGGCATCTGTCTACCAGCTGTTAATGCAAAAAAGTTTTTAATTTAAATACATTTGCAGCGACTTGCTCTTGGGTTGTGGTTATGAATAGATCTGTGTTACTGAAATACATTGTATTTTCATGTTCACCCTAACTTCACAGCAAAACGTCTATTTCGAAGTTACCCCAGGA